TGAAGAAGAAGAAGAAGAAGAAGAAGAAGAAGAAGAAGAAGAAGAAGAAGAAGAAGAAGAAGAAGAAGAAGAAGAAGAAGAAGAAGAAGAAGAAAAGATAAAGAAGGAGGAGGAGGAGCAAGAAAAGGATGAGAAGGAGGAGCAAGAGGAGGAGGAGGAGGGAGAGGAGGAGGAGGAGAAAATATCAGTTCAAGTGCCAGCAGGAAAATAGAGAGAAAAGAAGTCTACAAATAAATTCATGAATGATAAATAGGGGAGTCAACCTGAAAAGTTTTGATGTAGGAAAAAAAAAACATAATTTTTTAGTGTTAACCTCAGCAGCACACGTACCAAAACTGGAACACTGCAGAGAAGATGAACACAGCCCTTCATAAGGATGGCATGCAAATTGGTGAAGCGGTCAGTCCATACTGCCTGTGTGTTTAACTTGGAGTACCAGGGTAAGCTAGGAAAACTTGAAGGGGGGGTATAAGATTATAGGTAAAATGAAAGTAGAAAGTTGGGGTGCTGGGCACTTGGGGATGGAAAGGCTTAAACAGGGAGGGACTTAGAAGTGTGGGGAAGCACAGGAGATGAAAGAAAGGGTCACCCCAGGGGAAGAGTATATGAAAAGCCACGTAGAAGCCCACTATCTCACAGCACAATTAAAAACTAATAATTAAATACATGTGAAATGAAAGAAGAGGGTAGGAATACTGGGGGCTCTCGGTTTAAGTGGGGGTGGGAGTAGGGGGTGAGGTTGAGGAGGGGTATCAGATGAATTAGACCAAACTAAGAATGTATGAAAAAAAAAAACCTTAAAAGAAACTCAATAATGATCTTATAAGAAACCAATGGTCATGTGCAGCACTAAAGCCTGCAGTGCATGCTGATATACTGAACTTCCAGGCAAGACATGTGCCAGTATAATCATGGCATGGCTGTTAGGAGATAAGTAGCTGCCTACTGATTAGATATGAGGCCTACCCCACAAGAGGGAATTTCACTTCTGGTACTAGACTCCAGATAAAAGCCCAGGGCTAGGAGATAGAACCTGTTATTTTTATTTTGCTAAATACGCATGCTGTTGAATTGTCTGCTAAATATTTATGTTATAGCCATGGACCTGGGCTTAGGATAATCAACCTTGTCCAGAGAAGTCCCCAACACCCTGCAGTGGGCAGCATTCCATGCAGATGCATAACTAGTCAAATTACTAAGAACATGAGATTGAATATTCAACCCTAAAGAGGACATCTATGTCAACCATACCTTTTATGGCTCAGGGGACATTGTGTAAGAAGAGAAGAAAAGAATGTAAGAATCAGAAGGCCAGAAGAAGTGCTGAGAAACACTGCCTTTTGGGCATGACATGGTTATTGCACACATTAAAACAGACGCTTTGGTTACTTGCACAAAACTTGATCAATCTAACCACAATTCTGTCATAGGTAATTGTTGCAATCATCAAGGCTGGAAGGAGTTGGAGATCTGAAGAACACTTTGACATCAGACATGGCGATACAGAATTCAGAGTTTTCCCTGATGGTTTTCACTCTTGCTTTGGTTCAGTATTTCCTCACTAGGCTCCCTTTTCTCCCTTTTGGAATGGTAATATTCTGTGCCATTGTATATTGGAAATATGTGATCTGCTTTTTGCTTTTGATTTTATAGGGAATTACAATTAAGAGAGTGCCTTGAGTCTCAGAAGAAACTTTGGACTTTGGATTTTTAAACAGAGTTGAGATAGAAAGATTTTGGTAGTTTTGAAGTTGGAATTAATATATTTTGCATTATGATGGGGCTACAGCCTATGGTGGCCAGTTTGAATGAGAGTGCCCCCATAGACTCATATATTTGCAGGCTCAGTCCCCAGCTGGTGAACTGTATGGAAGGATTTAGAGGTGTGACCTTGTTGGAGTAGGTGTGTCCTTGTTGGAGAAAGCATGTCACTGGAATGAGCTTCAAAGTTTCAAAAGGCCACACCAGGTCCAGTCTTTCTGCCTGCAGATCAGGATGTAAAGCTCTCAGCTACCACTCCAGCACCATGACTTCCGACCTGCTGCCAGGCAGGAAACCTCCAAAACTTTAAGTAAGCTCCCAATTAAATGTTTTCCTTTATAAGAACTGTCTTGGTCACAGTGTCTCTTCCTATCAATAGAACATTAAGACAGCGGTTTACAAGATCTTCTGGACCTATTCCCTTCTGAGGACCTATTAGCAGTTTATAGTTGCTGGCCTATAGGGAGAATCACTCTTCCTTGGAGATGTGGTCATTGGAATGGTTGCCATGCTCTTTTGGAATGCCCTACAACAATGTACATAACTTCAGCACTAAGTAGACTCAGTAAGTTATATAAATATGAATTAGAGGAGGGTCTTATTGAGAGGAAATGGGGGCCCTGGTACATTGAACACTTTTATGTAATTCTCAAGAATAAACAAAAATTTAAAGTAAAATAAGTTTAGTAAACAAATTTGGGACAGAGAGACTTTCACAATTTAAATATGATTTTAACTTTCTCTGGATATAAAAAGAAATCTCATGGATAAACAAAAGTGTCATAAGAAAAGAAGAGGAAAGAAAAGTATGACTCACAAGCAGTAGGGTTATCAGGGTTCTGACTGAGAAGAGATAGAGGCGACAGAAATAACATGTAACTATGTTCCTCATCTCAATGCTGGTAATGACCTAATCAACATATACAAATACAGATCAGATCATGGCCATTGGCTTATTTTATGAGCTCTTACAGCAGATGAATGCCTTTCATTCATAAACCAATAATTTTAGTATCTCTGAAAAGTTTGGTAGATGAGTTGTCAAAATAGAAACTTAGTTTCAAGTTGGCCTTTTGTTTCTGTTATCTAACAGGTAAGATAGCCCTGCACCAACCAGAAGAGATTGGGTAGCTGACATCAGGGACTGAGATGGGAAAACCTGGCCTAAATACTTAAAACAGATGAGTAGAAAGTCTTGGAAATCTGATGGGGACATTCTTGACTGATTGGTTCAATTTAGCATTCTTTGCTAAGACCAGCAAAGACCTGGATTTAATTCTTCCTAAATCCAATCATCTTCACAGTTCACAGATTCTAACTCTGGTCAGCTGCTTCAAACACACACTGATATTCACAAGGGAAGCTGGCTGAAAGGGTGAATGTTAATGAGGGACTTCCTCCTCTTGGTTCACAGCTGAGGTGGCAAAAAGCTGCGTTCTGCATGGGAAGGCATCCATGTCCATCGTGGCCTCTTCTTGTCTTACGATTTCTCTTGCTGTGATAAAACACCATGACTAAAAGGAACTTGGGGAGGAAAGGGTGTATTTGATCTTATAGTCAATTTTGAACGTGTAGTCTATCATGCAGTAAAGTCAGAAAAGGAATTAAGGACAAGAACTTGGAGGCAGCTTGCTACTGCTCAAGATTATCTTTGTCATTGTTACTAACATTTCCACATCTTTCAGTTTAGGAACGCATCCGACTTTATTTCTGTTAGAAACACCCTTGTGATTTAGAACCCTTGTTTCTGAGCTTGTGCCACTGTGCTCATCTATCCCAACCTCATTCCAAAGTTATAGCTACAGAGAGTTCCAGGAACCACCTACAAAATATTCTTGCTGCCTCTTCATTCATTTATTTAGAAAATCCTTCAACAAACACAACCATTTCTGTGCTCCTGCTGGGATATACAGACTTCAAAACAATTGATCTGCTCTTAATAAGGTTATAGTCTAGTAAAGAAACTGTTTTATTAGCAGATGTTAAAATATTGTGTAATTAATTAATTGGGGAAACTAACAAGATAATTTTTCAAGTGTCAGGGCAGGTTTCCAAGCAAAGGAATATGTCTTATTTATTTTTAATAAGTCCCAAAATACCTTATTATTGGGGGAAAAACTCAATAGCATCCAGGGAAATAGGAAAGCAGAACCAGAAGTGAAGGAGCCAGCCTGACAAGGACAAAAATGAGATACCTTGATTGTAAATCAGTCATCTAATTTCAAAACACACACAAAGATATCAAACTTTGATATACATAATTTTTACTCTCAAGGCACACATTCAAAACAACCTTTTATAACACTGCTTTATTTGAAGCAGAGGGCACTAATGAAATCTCCTATTCAGAAAGTCATAAATAAGAGCAAAACACCCATACATCCTAGGCATCATTTTTTTACATTCCCCAGAAAGCTTGGTTTTGCATAATATGACTTCATAAGTAACTGTCAAAAAGACAAATGATTTGATTATTCCCAAGATTTCCAAGACTGACTAAATAAGCCACTTCACTGAATAGTTCATTTTCTAAACTCTGGTGTTTTTTCCTTCTACTTTTCTTCTTATTCAATAGGAAAAGCATCAACCCAGGAAAAGGAGAAGGCCATATTTTATTTTTAGATATCGGTTCTCTTTGATACACAATTTCAGATCCTAATGCATGAATCAAGTATCTTTTCAGTTCATAAAAACATGTGATCAGACATTTGATGCTAAGCAACAGAGTAGACAAGTGTAAGTTATAATAGTTGTTAAAAAAAAAAAGAAATCCTGCCCAATATTTAAGTTTTACATGATTAGGAAAATAGTGCACTGAAAAATGGATGTGCTTGATTATTTTGTCCTTGAGAAACACACTAACAAAAGTCATTTTAAATTGATTGATGGACATTTCAAAAAGCAATCATGGCATATTTACAAAATACTTTTTGCCTAAGAAACACTTATCCTAATAGTAAACTTGATTGTTAAATGTTATCTAATATTCTTCCAGGGAAAAATCATTCAGGAATTTGATCCACCCAGTACAAATTATTTCCATAAAATACTTTTTTCTTTCCTAAATCCCTAAGTCTGGACATTTAGAAAGATGAAAAAAGGATTTATGCTTTGGGCCTGATAAGGCTGATTTGCAATTATCCCAGCCCATCTTCTGAGTGCCGGGATTGATATTCAAGACTTGAAGAATCCAGCAAGGCTACAAGCCAGACTATTGAAGTTGTCCTAAATTTCTTTTATCTGGAAGATTCAATTAAAGTCTATGACAAATCCATTAAATGCAGGAAATAAACTTCATTCTGAAGCTGTCAAAGAATGAGAGAGGATCAGTTAAGTGAAGGAGCCTGGGGCAGGCCTGACACTTGTCAGATTTCATCATCAGGTGATGGTCCTAGGGAATGGATGGACTCGGCCTGCAAATGACAGCTTGCTGCGGAACCTTTCTGTGGAAACCGTGCAAATATGAGTGTTCCTGGGGTTGTAGCACTATCATCATTGCATTCCCTACTGTACATAGATCAGAAGACGCTCAGCTCCCTAACGTGTTGCCTCCTTGTTTTCTTTGTCCTGCACAGAGACACTATGTGCTTCATTGACTTGCACTACAAAAAGATGGGGCTTCTTTCTTGAGCAGATTCTTTTGCTTTTTA